GTACTGTTAAATTGTGCAGAACACCATTTGTCAGTAAATGAGTTTGAGTATCCATTGTGAACAACGGTTTACCTGAAAAACCTCAATTCTCTGTATAATGTACCTTCCATATGCATGCGATAAATTCGGTTAGTAATACCGATAGTCAGATTCCTTTTTCAACTCAAAGAGACAAGCCTGTGGAAATTCGTCAACTGCTCGTTCACATTAGTGAATTGATAATTTCGATTTTGAGAGGATTCATCTTTTCTCCGTGATAGTTGAAAATCTAGAAAGGCAGCTTTGCGATTCAACTCGACTTCAAGCGTAAAACTCATTTGTTGATAAGGATTGTTGAAGATAACTACCATCGTATTTGATTCAACTGTTTTACCTTAGGCAATGAACTTGTGAACCTGTTATTATCATTAAGAATTCTCAACATTCCTTCTTCATAGTCTGACCTAATAAATAAGGCAATTCTGTTGTATTTGTCCAGATATGGGATGATTGTTTCTCCGGTGTTAGTCAATTCGTAGATCTGTGATTTTCTAATCGGTTAGGAGTAAACGGCACCTCTGTCTTAAGTTTTGAAACTTGAGATGACTAATTACAGTTAACCTGAAGTGTAGTGGTTGTTTTTCAGATACATGGAGTAAATGTTTAGTCTGTCTGGCAAAATTTCTAAATTCAACTTCTCTATGAAAATTGTTGCTTGTGTAGGTTTCATGAAAGAAATTAATAACACATATCTGCCCTAATGCTTGGACCAGTTGCGTTGAGAGTTCTACGTTTGAAAAGCTAGATATTAAATCTTTTGGTCAAAATGGAAATTTTCCTGTGAGACTGATTAGCTGGATAAAATATAGAAGCTTTTTCCCAGCTTTCAGCAGACGTCTGATCACAGTGTAAGAGTTTTCCTTCAATTCTTTTCGTTCATCAGCTAACAACTAATCGGGTTTGTGACTTTTTTTGATAACCTTTGTTTTCTAATAGGAAAAAAACATTGGTGTAGGTCGTTGATTACGTTTACAGCAGAGCCTCTTTAAGTCCTGTAATTTAGATGGACTGGACAGCAGTGAAAGACTTTCTAAAAATGCGCTAAATCTAACTTAATTAAATCATTTAGGTCAAATATTTCATCATCAACGTGAGAGCCATAGCGAAACACTCTTCACATAAATCGTACTTATCTTTGAAGGGATATATACAGAAATAGTAATTAGTACACGGAAAACGATTTCAGTTTTACCTTCACAACCCACTTTGTAGTGCAAACTATTATTTTGAGTACTATAAATAATCACTGAGTATTTTGTTCACAAGATATATCTCTTCTTCAGCATGAAAACATCGAAAGCGTATTTGAAAACTGAATTCAATGAAGCTTTTGAAGGAATAAATGCACTAAAGTAAGGAACACCACCAGTTGGTTAGCCTATTGACAGACTTAAGTCTATTATAATTTCACATGGACAGACACTCTAGGAAAGTGAATTTAGGCTAAATTTTACTCAATTGTAAACCATCTTTAGTTGCTATCTACCCTTTCCTAGATCTCTGGAAAATCTAAATTTCTGTAATTTTAGGTAGTAAACGTTTAAACAAACTAGACAAAAGCTAAAGGGTTTTTGGCAGGGCACTTGGAAACGTTAAACGAAGTAGAAAACGTCTAAAAATTTAAAAATGCATTGTTATACTGCATACTTTCTAAGCTTAAGTGCATCTATCTATTTGCTATTTAGTAGTGGAACTGAATAACTATTCATAAGGTAGAGAAATGCCTTATACAATAACATATGAATTGACTGATTAAGACAAATTAACTTGTTTTTTTTGTTGGTACTGAAGATTGTTAGACGAGGTTCATTACCACTGACTAGCGATAGCACGAGAGTCATTATAAACCAGATACCGGCCAGTTGTCGTTTCTACATATTTTTCTTTATTAGGGCCTTTTATTAACCCTATAGAGATTCATGCGAGTTTAATTTGCTTATGTTTACTGGCCTTATTTATGGAGCGGTTTATTCGAGACCATATTTTTTTTACTTCCATCGCGTATGAAGTCAAGTCTTAGGAATGCAAATGAGTTTCAGCTGCGGGAGATAGACGCAGAAGAAACATCTGTCTATTGCCCTGATATTTTCAGTGTTTCTCCAAATGATTTCAGTGTATGAATGAAGCTACTTTGAAACTAGTCAATCTCATAATTTATCAAATAAGGCACTCAGTCCATCGCTTCTGAATCTTCTGTATTCTATTACTGTAAGTAATATGACGTGCTTTTCACCATATTTTTCAATTTCACTTCAAGTTTTGCGCTTCCACTTTCTTTTCATTCTTTATTTGTAGCTGCTATATTCCTCCTACGTATTGTAAGATTTAAAGCTTAGTTACTATAGCTGGTAAAGCCTTTAGGACTCAATTTATTACAGAAAATTGACAAGTTATTTGAACATATACTGACTACCTTAATTGTCCTAATAGGTACGCAGTGCTTACAAAATTATTTCTCCACTGTAACTACCTTGATAAAGATTTTGTAGGCAGCTGGACACCATAGGGACTAAGCTGTTACTGGGAAAGTTTGAGAATAACATTTCGAATGAATTGAATGGGGTTCTTCGTAGCGTAATTAGTACTCTCAGACATATATACATATATATTCATTATCTCGCAATCAGCCTAAAATCCTTTACTCAGCTTTTTTCAGCTGTAGGTTTTTACTTGTATCTCACGTTTATGCCTACTAATAGGTACAAAATTAAAGTAAGAATTTCACAGGAGGACAACAAATCTAAGGTAATTCCAGGCGGAGAAATAAAATCTGGAGATTTTAACGTAGAGACCATATGTTACTGGAATTCTGATTGAAGCTGCAAATCAATTTGGAGGTTTATAAGAATTGATCAATTTGATAACTATCTACAGTTCGTTACTGACATTTCAGATGGATTCTAGGAAGTTTTAAAGAGAAGCCATGACCTGTCGGGTTAAAGAAAGTTGCTTGTAAGCAGAGATGCTCGCTGACATTTGATGTTAGTCACGCCATATTGTGAATTGACAGAAGTAGGACAGTGTTAATCACTGGCTTTTAGTCCAGTCGCTGAACAGTAACTTGCTTACAGCGAGACCTGATGACTATGAGTTCGATCCAAGGCAAGGTCATGGGTGTGCGATGTTTAGGAATCCAACAATAGCTAAAAACAGCCATTAAATGCTTACAAATTTCCACTGATTCGCCAAATAAAGTTGATACAGTTATAATAATTTTAAAATTGATTGATTCTATCCACAACGCATAAATTTTTCTTGGATATAATTAGAACTATGAACTTCAGATTTTGACTACAACGATATCATAAGCTTCAGAAATACTGCAGTTGTAGCATTTCATACTGGAATAGAAAAGAAGATATACATACTTATGAAATGTTTTGTCTAACGCCGAATTAAACGATATCTTCAAGATTGACAGTTTTAAAATGTTTGGGGACATTTTTACCCCTTCTTATTCATTTGTTCTCATATTTGATAGTGGTGGAATTTGTTTCATGTATGCCAGAAAGTCAAACTGCATACAGAGGTTGTATTTACGTCATAAAAAGTAGTTTCCTAAATTACCTGAATACACCTCTTCTTTTCAACAAACGTGTATATGGTAAAAAAGCAATCAAATTTCGAATACTGTATTAAACTACCTACTGAAGTGCCATAGTTCTTTTATAGAGTAGCACAGACAAGCATTATCAACTAAAATACACAATTTTTATAAAAATTGATTGTTATCTATATGAGAGTAAAACTTCAGGACTGTAGTAGAATGTAATTTTATCCTAGTCAATCTACTAGACAGATCACACAATGTAAGATTATTGTTTACTGGATCAGATTTCAGACAAAATTTATTGTTCATAGTTACATCAAGACAACTATACAACTTTGAGACATGGGTTACTTTACAGTCCTAGTAAATTAATAAATAAGCTTGTCAGGAATCGCAAGAAAATTATAACTTATATTAGTAACACAGGTGTTAACAGTAGTAATAATGATGTCAGAAATAATAGTGCCAATACTGTGAAGAGAGAATTCAAAACCTCTATACTATACAAGGTAGGCTGGCTGGGATTAGAGTTGCATTTAAACCTACGAACTCAATTCGAAATAAGCTTTGTGGGTTAAAAGATCCTACTAATCCAACTAAGCAGAATAATTTAGTTTACCGAATCGCTTACAACGATTATGAGGTCAAATACTTAGGTCAAAGTGGTCGACCAGAGTCAATTAGGCTGTTTGAGCACAAAAACCTATCTATATTGAAATTGGTAGATAGTAAAAAGATAAGGAAATTTAGAGAAAGATCGGTCATAGACATGTACGCGGTTACACACAAACAATAGGAAGTGAGAGAGTCAAAATCTGTAGAAATATCATAACAGGTTGGAGGGAAAGATTGACAACCGAATCTTTATTCATCTAATTAGCACCAAGTACATGCAACAGAAAATCCTACAACTTATGTCACGAAGGTGGGACGAAATTAAAACTATATAATGGGTGTTATGTAGTTATCTGGATATGAATGGTAACAATAAATTGTATCTCAAACGTGATCCTGTAAATAGCGCTCTTCCAATATTTGAGACATCTAATAAATCAATTAAATGGAACTAATTAAAGATGTTAACATATCACCCACGTAAACTATCTACTAGTTATTTTTGACGGACTTTATTTTACGACCCTGTTTTATTTATAAGTATGACATTATTATCTTCTATTGGGTATTGTCTTAGTGACCTACTACGAAAAAGAACAACTGCAATATTAGTGGTATCGCCTATCAACTACATATATGTACACTCCACACACATACACACATACGTTGTACAGGACATCCATAAGCATATACTTTCACAGAACTGGATATTTAGGCATATGCATAAGCATATAGGTAAGGACGAGGAAACACATCTACAGTTACTATTCAAAATAACAACATATTTAGGAAACTTGTTTATTCCCTATTGGTTTTTGTTATGCACATGAATGAATTTTGAGGTGACCAATGTGGAGACATATTTATATTAAATAAGATGAATATTCAACTAGGATAAAATTACAATTAGCTGAAAAAAAAATAAATGAAAGACCATTGAGTACATGAGACATTTTAAAAATATTTCAGAATCATATGCTATCATTTGGTTTGCAGAGATTTAAGTATCTACCCCAATACGGAATTAAATTTTTCTCAAGGAATTTTCAAAGAGTTTCTACTCTGCTTCATTTAAGTAAGTTTCTTACCATACGATTTCGTTAAGTGAACTTAAAAAGTTTGTACTTAGTTAAAATTTAAAAAAACCCATGAGAAATCCATAGTGTGAGTGACTTATGTCTTTGCCAGAAGAAAATTTCTAACTATTAATTTATGATGAAATTTGGAGTGTTATTTAACTCAGACGCGGTTCATTCTACATTTCATTCGACTAGTGTTTTTTTTCAATTAATGCATCTACAGAAACAGTTTCATTATTTATAAGATAAGCTGACCTGTAAGCTTTTAACTAACAGATGAACCTTAGATACGTTTTTTTTTAGTAGATCATAAGGTGTGAAATATATTGTAGGTCCAAGAATGAGAGCATAAAATCTGCATGATATGCTATACTGCCTGAAAGCAATGATAGTAAAATAACTCATAATACACAGTCCGAGTATGAGAGAGAATATAAAGCAAGCGAATAAAGAATTATGGAAAATAATAAACTTCAGGAAGTGTAATGGATGAGAAAATGACATCAAAGTAAGTAACTACAAACATAAGAATAAAAAAAATTCACCTTTCAATAATTTGCACAGAGTTTGGTTCTAAATTGTGCTTTTCTTGCCTTCACCTCAAAGGAAGACGAAACAAGCTACTTTTGAACGTTTTCTTATGTCAAGACAAATTGAAACGAGCAGCATACCGCTGCTGAAAGTTGATTAACATTCAAAACAAACATGGATACCCTATTTATTTGCATTTTAAGAAAGTAAGGTGAATTTCACCACCACACGCAAAGACCTGGAAAGATCTTATGATTTTGTTATTCAAAACAGTTGTATTCCTTGTTAGATTACACATTAGAAGGTAAAATCGATATTATAGTTACTTCCGTTTCCTACCGACCAGAATTTGTCTATCGGTGTTGAGCTGGAGACAGATACAACAAGCATATATGAAATGTTTTACTGTTCGTCAAGATGTCTGCCGTCTTTTGTGGTTGTTAGTTAATTAATCGGTACTTTCGAATGGGATCACTAGATTTACTCTTGTTATTGTAAGCGATGATGAATGTAGATGACCGTTCCTTATTGAAGGTTCAGGTGATAAGTATTTTGTCTTGGTTACGTTTTTCATGTAAGTGAATATCCTAATGCAGTAATGTTGCTTCATCGTTCCCGTTCTCATTTTAACATTGTTGAACTGAATACAGTCAATGAGCTTGAAGTTTGTTTTTTGATTTCATACTTTGTTGATCAGGATGATTTAATGATATCACAGTCTTGATTTAATAGCCCGATATGACAACTGTTTGGTGTATAGTTCACTACGCACAATCTTTATCTCATAGTCATACTCACATATCCTCATTCCAGTAAGTATTGCAACAATTACGCAAACTGTTGACCTGTTTTTGCCAATCCAACCACATGAAGCTACAACTTCCCAGGTGACCCTCAAATAATGAGCTCTAAGTCATGTTCATGCACTTGTGAATACATTGGTAGATGTTGCCTTGACTTTGTCATTACATCCAACAAAAATCTAAATTCTGTGAAGTCATCTTTTAAAACAGTCTTCTGTAAGCTGGATATCATTTTCAACAGCGTCATCAGCACAAAATCCAGAAAGTGTTCATTTCATAAATCAATAAAATGGACTCAATTTTCTTTTTTACGCTTCTGAACTTCTACAATGACTGCTGAAAATTAATTATACTAGACAGTTTTATTCCTTTTCCTATTTTATGATTCCTATTTAGTTCAAACTCGTAATTATTTAGAGATATAGGCTGAGATATCCAACCCTCGTAACAAGCATATTGGTAAGCATGCGAATGTTACGAGTCAGAATGGCTGACACTTTATTACACATCAACTTAGGTTAAGCTGAACTCTTGAGTGCACCCACCTCAAACGGGCATTCAGTTACCTTGAATGAATATAACTGCGCATTAAACTTACATTTGACATTGATAAGTTGTAAGTTAGTTGGTCAGTAAGTAACTGAAGTTTGTCCTCTCTCAAAATCATTACACGGCATAACAACCACTTTGAAGGTCCATAAACACAAAATTGAATAGTGAACGTTCGGTTAAGATAGAGCGGTATTATGTGACATGTTTAAGGAAAAAAGCTGAACTTAGTACACTTGTTTTCAAATACGAACTGATAGTCGAATTTCGCCTGTTGTGATTGTCTATTCTTAACTCCTGATGATAATTTATCAGTTGTGTTTAGGATGTTATATAAAGTGAATAATATGATAGAGTGGTACCCTTATTTCAGTGTTAAGTGTACTGAATCAATCGATCCGGATTTGGACTTCATTTATATTAACAACATAATTTTGGAGTGCTTTACAAACACACAGATGTGACAAATGCGATCCTCAAAATCCCTTAAAAAGCTACTAATGCAACTTCAAAACAATATTTAAAGAACTACATGTAGGCTACCTCATTCTGAAGGCTTGCAAACATTAATCACGACATCCGACTTCGAAGTATGTTTTTTTTGATAAAACAGGAATCAAACTGATATAAATATAGAACAAACTCATGTTAAATGTGATACTATGGCTGATAATCTACTTAGATGGTTATCTACATGGTATTTTTAGTGATATTGAGTTATGATTCATACTGAAAGTACAGAAAGCGTTGTTTTATGCATACTTCGATTGTTCTTTTGAGAAACAATTGAAATAAGTTAGTGATGAAGCTTTAACTGTCTCATTAACGAAACTAATGTAACATTTTAGGACACTATTCATTATGCACTGACATTATTTGGGAAACCCTTGAGAATCCCGAAGTACTGGAAACCTGTTTTGAACATGTATCTGACTCAACTCCATCTCACATTTTCCCTGTAAACTGCGGTTACAGTTGGTTGAGCATAAGCTGAAGCTGACATTTTTATTATCATAGACATTTTTTCTCTATAATAAACAATCTTAGTATTCTAGAACTGTCAACTGTACTGCGTGATAAACTTTTTTCAACAACTTACGAACATAAAAATTTCCATTTTCATGTCTCAATCAATTATTTTTTATTCTTGATGGACACATCCATTTATAGTCTTGTAATACGTTGATATTTTTCAGCCGTTTTCTTGTAACGAGAACTTGGATTCATCTCAGTGAGACGAACTAAATTCATCGTTTTCTAAAAATTTAAACACAGTTTGGTCAAACATGCAGATAAAATTTGTTTTCTTTTACAGACTAATCAAAGGTATTAAAACTAGGAGTTTAAGGTATCAACGTAAAAACTGAGGTGAACCAACCTGCTATCCAAACATAGGTAAAATATAAACGTGGAAAGTCAAATCAGGTTCTCAGTACGTCTTCATGCCCGCCAAAATTTTGAGTATTCAAGATTTGGTAGCTTGTACAAACATACTCCCTATCACTCTTTCAGGCTTTATTCATTGTATCCGACACACCTTGTGGTTTGTAGATTTAGATTTTTAACGGAAACAAAAGTGAAATTTCGAAAGATACTTGAACAACTTTCCAATGTGCCTAATTTTTGAAATGAACTTATCATTATTATTATTTGTCCCTTGGGTTCATAATGGAACATAGGGCTTCAGTAGCACGTCTCCAATGCACTCTCTCCTCTACAATCTTCAGAACATGGCTCCACGACAGCCAACAAGCTCTCATTTCTTCCTCACACAATCTCCTCCATGTCACCCCCCACCTCGGACACCCAACTCGTCGCTTCCCATCGGGGTTCCACTCAACCAACTGGCCTGACGCATCATGTCCCCTGTCGGCCTTCTCAGTGTATGCCCAATCCATCTCCACTTCCTTCCAGTGCATATTTGTTCAGCGATAGGCTCTTGGTTGGTTCGTTACCAGCTAGCCAGAGTTCCTTGTCGCTTATTATTTCTGGCCATCTGAGCTTCAGTAAGCAGCTAGCGTGGACAGTTGTTGATGAATATCTGTAGTTTGTTCGAAATCCCTTTTGTAATGCGTCAAGTCTCTGAGCCATACAGAAGCACTGACTTGATGTTGATGTTGAAAATCCGGATGTTGTTCACGCTTTATGCAGAGTGCAGAAGATCTCCAAAATGGTTTCAGGTGAAATGAACTTAGCGAACATTAAGTGTGATAGATAGTATATTTTTAAATTAACACTTACAAATTAGGTAGTGATAGATAATACATCAGTGGATACCATTTAAGTTAATCATAATGAAAAAACCTTGTATACTACTCAAACACAAAGTTCGCCTGCCATCAATAAAATTGTATTAGCTTGAGTATGTGAACAATTGCATCAGGTTCTACATTGCACAGGTTTTGTAGTTGCATAAGTTGTCATAACTGACAAACCAGCAGTTACTTTTCTCTTTAATATCTCACAGACAGCTCATCATTGAACTAATGTACATAAAGCATCTTTCAGTAATATAACAAATCAGATTATATCAGACTTTTTTGTAGTATACGTGTAATCACAAAACAACAAAAAATTTCTTATGGACTTTAAAAAGTCGAAACCTAATCCAACAAATGTTCACCACTCAAAACTGAATAAAAATAGTAGATCTTCCATGTTGTAGACTTCGATCAGAATGCATAAAACGTTTATTATATTGTTACCGAAATTCTCAAATTAGGTTTTTCTTTAGTGGAAAATATGAAGATTTGTGACTTTTCGCAACCTTAGGTGATGACATCCTCGATCATACCAAGTAACACTAGAGGACCTACTTAGGATTTTTTTCATGAAAAGAGACGGAATGCATGGATCGTAACACAGCTACCATAGTAACTGAATTAAATATAACATACTTTTCGTCGAAACTTATTGATCGAGAACGTACATTACTTCAGTCAGAGGAAAAGAATCATTGTGATTCGAGCAAGCCGTTGGTCAAAGTGTAAAGAACTGAATGAAATACAAAAACTGTTGATCAGTGATCTGATTCAATTTTCTTAGATTCATCATTCGGGAGTATTGATTTCATTTACATTTTAGGGCTGGCTGTTCATTTCCAAAGATATTTC